ACAAACAGCAATTACACACAAACTCAAGCTAATCGAGAAGCGTCACAGACTACCAAAAGAAGGTGTCTCCCCAGCGCATGTATTGCCGATGAGCGCTTCTAGGCGACAACATCTGATCCCGTCGGGAACAACAATCGTCAACGCTTGATAGGCTGGTCTAGCTTTACATATTCCATCCTCACAGATGATACGGTCCTTTCACGATTTGGTCATGATATTGAATACAAATACCACTAGTAACGTGGTTGCTGTGCGCTTTGCGCAGAGGAACCTTCGACTTAAAGAATCCGCGTTAAATTCAAAGAAGTTGGAATTGTACACTCTATCCAGGAATGGAAACAAATAATAACTTCAATTGAAATATCAGAGCGAGTCTTATATGCTTCAACTACTCTCACCTGTACCATTTATGTAAATACTGATTATATCCAAAAGTGCAATGAATTTTTTACAGCTTTACATTTTACAGTTATAATGGTGTACGAACACAAATTTTTCCATTTGACTGTTACACTTTATATTATTTGGGTACAAATTTAGTGCCATTTATATTACTTAAAGTTTTCAGAAAATTCGCAAACTAGAGATTTCAGCGATCTTGAAGCTTAATCATTTTCCATAAGTAAAGCTAAGCAGTTATGTCAACGTTAACCAGCACAGATATGGGCGAGCTCAAGCGTCCTACCACGCGTGTGCATGCTCCCCCTGGAGGTGGCACCAGCTGGAGCTTTGGCGACGATTCAGCTCCCGTCTCCACAGGTCGTAAGCGCTTTAACCAGCCGCAAGCTCAAACACAGCAAGACACCAAAATGGAGTCGCCTCGCGCAGCACCGGTTCCTGCAGCAGTCCAAATGTCAGCTCAAAAGTCTCTTCACGAAGCTACGGGAGAAATTCGTATAGCGCTTGTTAAGACAAGTAGTGACGCGGAGCTAGTGGATCGTATCGTGCAAAACTGCTTCGAGAAATTGGAGAGCCAGTGCGTAAGCTCTGAGACCTTCACTGTCCCTACAGTAGAGCAGTTGCCTTACGCCGCGAACAAACTCACGGAGTTTGGTGGTTTCAATGGTGCAATTTGTTTTGGCTTTTTGAACACGCAAGACATCCAATTCCCAGCCTTAAGCGCGGCATTAACGCAGAGCTTGATTGACATCAGTGTCAAGAATGCATGTCCTATAGTGCGTGCTGTGTTTGTTGGAGAATCGCGTGTGGCTTCAGTTAAGGTAAAAGGAGGATGGGGGACCGAGTTTGCAGACATTGGATCATTGATTCAGCTTGGTGTTCAAGAAAGCAAGTAAGACATTTGCGGGCAGTGTAGCCGAAAGCTTTAATTTGATTACTCAAGTATATGCTGCATTAGTGCATCATTTTTTTGTCATTCACTGTAAGTCTTTCATAACAAAAAACCTTATGAGGTTTACTATCTTTTTGCCTTTCGTACTTAAGCGACATCAGCATGTTGGTTGGACAAGAGGCCTTGACCGCTGAACGCTTAGACACTCATCACTCTTCAATCCCGAAGCTTCATTCGTTTAACCTGCATCCTCTATAAACACCATGGGCGCTCCACCTCCAGCTGGCGAAGAAAAGATCGTCGTATTGCGTACGGTGGGCGGCGAGGTTGCTCCTGCTTCGGCTCTGGCTCCTAAGGTCGGTCCTTTAGGTCTGTCTCCTAAGAAGATTGGTGAAGACATCTGCAAGGCCACTCAGGACTGGAAAGGACTTAACGTTACTGTCAAGCTCACCATTATCAACCGTCAAGCAACGGTTACTCTTATCCCCAGTGCTTCTTCGCTGTTGGTCAAAGAGCTCAAGGAGCCTCCTCGTGACCGTAAAAAGGTGAAGAACATCAAACATGATGGCAATCTATCGCTTGACC